TGCAGTTTGTAGGTTTCTTTCTTAATATTTAAGCCTCTAATTTGGCTTTCCTTTCGAATCATTCTAGTCAGTACTTTGAGGGTTAATATAAACATTAACGGCGAGAACGGGCACCCTTGTCTTGTACCTTTTCTAATTTGGAAGCTTTGTGTCGCTTCTCCATTGATTATGACTCTCGCCTCTTGTTTATCGTATATAGCTCTGAATATGTTTATAAAATTTCCGCCAAAGTTCATATAACCTAACTGCCTCAACATGAAGTTCCAATTTACATTATCAAAGACTTTTTGTGCATCCAAAAACATCAGAGCTACTTGTTTTTCACTGTGAATCTCGTAGTACTCCAAAATATTCAAAATCGTCCTCATATTATTTCGAATTTGCCTTTGTGGTAGGAAACCATTTTGATCTACGTGTATAAATTCATTTAAGTATCTTTTTAGCCTTCCCACAATTATTGCCATAAATATTTTATAATCCAAATTTAAAAGCGATATTGGCCTATAATTATTGATTTTTGTTAACTCCGAATTTTCTTTTGGAATCAGCACGTTTGCTTCTATCCAAGATGCTGGTGTTTTTGCTTCCTTTAGGACTGCACTGAAAGTCTCCAGTAATATTTTGCCAAATAAATCTTGAAATTCTTTGTATATTTCTACTGGCAGTCCGTCTGGGCCTGGTGCTTTATTGCTCTTCTGTTTTTTCAATGCCTCAGTTAATTCAGTCATTCTTATCTCCGCATTAAACATACACTTTGTTTCATCCAGAATTTTTGGTAGGTCAGCTTTTTTAAAACATTGATGTATTTTTTTCATCCGTAGCCCACTTATTCTCTTCGTATAATTTCGTATAGTATTTTTGAATTATCTTTTTCTTCTCTTCACTTTGATGTTGTAAATTCCCCTCTTCGTCCTGTAATTTATTAATCCAGCTTCTTTCCCTCTGCTTCTTTAGCTTATACGATAGCCATCTCCCTGGCTTGTTCGCATTCTCAAAGAAATTCTGGCCACTTCTTTTAATTTGTTGTGCTAGTTCTTCTTTCTCAAGAATGGACAGCTTATGTTTAATCACTTCCTAGACCACGTCATATATCTACTTGAATAGTACGTGTATTGGCTTCCCCCTTGGTTCCTTTCTCTCCAAATATCTCGCATCCCTAATTCATCCACCATCTTAAAGAAAACTTTTGGCAATGTTCTTCTAGGTCCCTTTCTTCCTTCCTTGCTTTTATAGTCTAGCTTCCTATCTATTATTGCGTTAAAGTCGCCCATAATACAGATGTTCTCACAATCTATTGCCCGTAGTGTATTATATAGTTTCCTATAGAATTGTTCTTGCCCCCCATTTGGGGCATAGATTCCTACTAATATTGTTCGTTTTTGGTTAATTGTCATCTCCACTATCAAAATCCTGCCTTCTGTATCTTTATAAATTTGCTTAGCTAAGACTGACTCTCTGATATATATCACTACTCCTCTTTTTTTGTGCTGTGATAGAGATGCAAACATCTTCCCCAGTTTAGGGCACTCCAACACCTGTCTATGCTGTTCCTTAATGTGAGTCTCTTGAATAACTATAACATCTAGATTTCTTCTAATCAATTTATTAAAAGTTTTTTTTCTTTTTTTGAGGAGAGTTTAGGCTATTAATATTCAAGGATAGGATTTGGAGTTCTCCCATCATATTTCTACTTATATCTAGTTTTTATACCCCTCGTTATTCTAGTCTCCTTTGGCTCCTCTCTCAGCTCTTGTTGTTCCCTTTCATAGTTTACCGTTTCCTCTCTCTTCTCTCTTCTCATTTTCCCCTGTTGTTCTTCCTCTTCTGTTCTAGCCAACCTTGACTCCCTCACTCCCTCAACATCTCTCTCTAATTCTTCTTCACTGCTAAACTTTTGCTTATAAAATTCCTCCGCCTTATCTGGAGTGTCTATTCTAATCTTCTTGTCTCGCCACGAAATCAGTATTCCCTCTGGAATCAACCATCGAAAATTAACATTATGTCTAGTCAGTTTCATTGTCAAGAAGTGGTAGGGTCTTCGTAGATCCCTAACTCTTTTCAGCATCTGCTTTAAGACAATCAGCTGTTTCCCCTTGCATTCTAATGGCTCATCTCTCGCTCTGTGAAGGATCTCGTCCCTAATCGACTTTTTAACGAACCTAACATGAATCTCTTTAGGCAGGTTATGTCATCTTGCGTAGTTTGTGTGGATCCAATAGACCTCATCCATTTCACTCAACATTTCTTCTTTCCCTATTCCCAGAGATTTTGCTAGGAGATCCGCCATCATTTCCGATAAATCCTCTCCCCTGTCCTCTCTTATGTTCTGAAACCTAAGTATCAGTCAGCTTTTTCAGATTCTAGGGCGATGACTGTTGCTTCTAGTTCTTTGTTTGCTCTGGTTAGTTTCTCATTTATTTCTTCTACTCTTTTTTCTTCGTTTTCCATCCTTTTCTCCATCTATCCCCACGAGGGGATAGATGGGGAGCTCATCAAATTTGCAGACGACACCAAGCTGGCAGGAATAGCCAACACTCCAGAAGACAGGCTCAAGATACAGAAGGATCTGGACAGACTTGAACACTGGGCACTATATAACAAAATGAAATTCAATGGTGAACAAAGCAAGGTTCTACATTTAGGCAAGAAAAACCAAATGCACAAGTATAGCATAGGGGGTACCTTGCTCAATAGTAGTAACTGTGAGAGGGACCTCGGAGTCCTAGTGAACAATCACCTAAATATGAGCCAGCAGTGTGCTACAGCTGCCAAAAAGGCCAACACAGTGCTAGGCTGCATTAACAGAGGGATAGAATCAAGATCATGTGAAGTGTTAATACCACTTTACAATGCCTTGGTAAGGCCATACTTGGAATACTGCATCCAGTTTTGGTCACCGCGATGTAAAAAAGATGTTGAGACTCTAGAAAGTGTACAGAGAAGAGCAACAAAGATGATTAGGGGACTGGAGGCTAAAACATATAAGGAACAGCTGATGGAACTGGGTATGTCTAATTTAATTAAGAGAAGGACAGGGGGGACATGATAGCAGTGTTCCAATATCTCGGGGGCTGCCACAAAGAAGAGGGAGTCAAGCTATTTTCCAAGGTGCCTGAAGGCAGGACAAGAAGCAACAGGTGGAAACTAAGCAAGGAAAGAAGCAACCTAGAACTAAGGAGAAACTTCCTGACACTTAGAACAATTAACCAGTAGAACAACCTGCCTCCAGAAGCGGTGAATGCTCCAACACTGAAAGTTTTTAAGAAGAGACTGGACAGCCATTTGTCCGAAATGGTATAGGGTTTCCTGCCTGAGCAGGGATTGGACTAGATGACCTCCCTTCCAACTTTACTACTACTACTACTACTACTACTACTACTACTACTACTACTACTATTATTATCTTTTGTAATTTCTGTTCATTCTTTTCCATCTGTTGTTGGAACGTTTCCAATCTTCCATCCATGACTTGTATCCGTTCTTTGAGATCACTTGTATTGTTTCTCATCTCTCCAATCTTTTTCCTCAGTTCTTCATGATTTCTGGCCATGGCCTCCTGCATCGCTTGTAACATGGTTTGTAGGTCTTTAAGTGAATTAGACCTTTCTCTTTGCAGAAGCTCATCAACTGATTTTTGGCTCAATGGACTTGAGGTAGTTGAGACATTCTGTGCCCCCTTCTTCGCTATCCCTACCTTGGATAGGTTCAGAATACTCATCATTTTGAATTCCTCACTTCAATCAATAGAATAACCTACTTAGCTTGGTTATGCCTAAAATAACAGCAGTATTACCAGGACAAATAACAATATAAGATAGGTAGTTGATAGCAGTAGATAAAATATCTATAATTTTAAGTATTAATTTCTGGGCACAAATTCACTATTTCTTAATTATAATAGCAATAATATATATGAGTACACAGCCTAAACAATTTGAACCACGGCCACAATTAGATCTTATCTATTACTCCAAGCAGTCTTTTATATCCAAAGTCTATAATCCCACTGAGAGGGAAAGAAAAAAGAAAGGGTTCCTGTTTCAGCCACAAGATGTCCCTCTTGGCTTCTTTTTTTTTTTTAAACTTCAACTCCACATAGAGAGTACGCTGTCACTTTAAGAAAGTCCTTTCAAGATGTCAGCCCGTCTTTCCAAATCACCTTCTTTTTCTCTCTTCTACTGCCAATTCAATCTCCTCAAAGCTCTCCAGTCCCTTCTCATTAACACTGTTCTTTCCCTGCTAACGCATCTCTATTTCCTTCCAAGTTTAATTTTGGGACTTTTCCCCCCCCCAAACAAGCCTTTCTTGCCACTTTCACGGGGGGGGGGGGATGAAAAAAAACACTCCCCCCTTTTTTTCTGGGATCCTTCTAACCTATGCTACCCGGGGGAAAACTTCCAAAAGACTCTTCCTTTCCAGTTTCCTCCAGTTCTTCCGTCAGAATCAATTCTTGGCCAGTTCCAGTCACCTGTTGTTCAGCTACTTCACCGCCTACGTTATCCTTCTGTCAAGCCTCTATGTCGGCCATTAAGGGCCGTCTTCCCCACTCGGTCTGCCACGCTCTTCCCTGCAGTCATGCTCTGGTTGCCACCTGGATTACACCGCAGGTTGTCCTTCCTTCTCGGCTCCCCTCCAAGGAGCCGTGGCTCCAAAAAGCCAGCTTAAGCAGCTGGCAAAGTAGTTGTGTATTCCGGTGAACCTTCCAACACAACCAGTCGGCTTGACAGCTGGCCCCACCCCCATTCCAAATCATTATTCTGCCAACCATTCAGTAAATAGTTTTAATTTTCTCTCCTTCCCAATATAGCTACCCCTACGTTATTCTTTTTCACATTTTTGTCTTTGCTAGGGGGTAGGGGATGTATGTGAACGTGTGTGTTCTTTCTGTTCGTGAGAGAAAAAATGGTTACAGGGATGGCTATCATGCAGAAAAAAGGATGTACCCAAATAAACAATTTGTTTCTCACTATTTCTCTTTATATTGATATTTGTCAACTTACCTAGAGAGTCAAGAGTTTTCTCATCTATGAGTCTATTGACCAGACCGTTGGCTTTCTCAATAGTACAGACTGCAATGTCCAGTGCAGAAAAAGGGACCGAAGGAGAAACACTGCCTATATAACCTTCCACTTGTACACCCTCTTCTTGGAACATAGCCTATTTTTCAGAAAGAAGCACATACATACAGGTAGTGTTCAAAATCAACATTTCTAAAATTATCTACAACCTATTAATAGAATGTTTTAATGATGGGTTTGTTTCAATGTTGATACTTATAAACTGCCCATTCTTTGGTAAGTAGAAACTAAACCTAGTTAAATAATTACTTTCCTTAACTCTCAAATGATCGTGCCAAGAATATATGTGATCTATGTTGCTTCAAGACCACTGATATCACAATGCACATCAAGATCACTGCCCCATTCCAGTTTTTAAGAAAACATGCAATCCACAGCCACTAAACAAAGTCTCACTGCAATTTTAAATCACACCTGTAGGTAATATTTCTTCTCTTTTGCCACAGAGATGAAAGGGAGAATGAACAATGCTTTCTTCCGTGTTTCTAAAACTCTCTTCAATATGAGTAATTCGGCAACAAGTGTTTTCCCCGCACTGGTGGGAGCTGAAAGCCGTTGAAAAAGAGGCAACAATTTATAAGAAAATGATTCACAGCTATAGACTTTTTTTTTTCATTCAAGAACTTCTAAAATTATAGACTGTTCAGAGAGCACATGGTGTCCCCCCAGTAATCATCTGAGCTGGCTTCCAGCAAGGAAAGTCAATGGGGGAAGGTAGATTTTCATGTAACCACCACCTGATTCACTTAAATGCAGTGATTCGCTTAATAACTGTGGCAAAAAATCATAACATGGAGCATAACTTACTTAACAACCATCTTGCTTAGCAACGCAAAATTACTGCGCTCAGTAAATTTACACTGTATTGCAGTCTAAAAAAGCTTCAGGTTATACTATTAATAAACTAGAAATAAGAATCCAAAATACTTTTGTACCAATCAGATGGAAAAATATCTAAGTCTCTCCCACTTTCATAAATATCACTCTAGCATACTGATATTCTAACAATAAGAATTTTAAAACATTTCTCTTTAATCTAATACCGTATTTTTTCTACAGCCACTAGCTTGGAAAACATTCTTATCAATCAACAATGCTTCTTATAAATTTAAAGTATTTACATACATCTTGTCCTCAAACTTTCTGTAAGAGTTATTCAAAAGTTGGAAGAATATTAGTATCATTTATGAAATAAATTTTGTTAATTTTTTTCCAACTTTCCCATGCTTAAAATGTAATCCAAATCCATGTCATTTGACATTACTAAAGAAACTGCCATTAAAATTAATTTATATTAGAAACAGAATACTTCAGTAAAAATAGTCTAAATTGTTCTCATCTAAATCCTATAAAACTAAAAAAAATGCAGAAAGGAAAAAAACTGTAAATGTTTTTATTAGTAGCTGTCTTACCCGAGTAGACTAAGTTCCTTCCCTCCAATACTTGATCAGCCATCAAGCATTCTGCTTGCCATTGGAACATACGAACTACTCCCAAACCATGATATTTCTCCAGGACTGTTTTGGGAAGCTCCCAGTTTGCTAACAATAGTTTGTCACTATTGTCATCAGGAACATTCACATGTTGACATGGTCCTAAGTGGAAATCCAGCATTACATTAGGACTCCTCTACCACAGAGGTGGTTGGTGGGACATATAAGGGATTAACAAATATGAAAAATTTGTAGTGATTTAAAAACTAATTATAGTTTATAGTTGTGAGATCAATAAGAACTGGCTTTTGCTCTCTGGATAGGATAGTCATAAATATCCATAGAAAATAATGGGAACTGAGAATCACTATAGTACTTAGATGACAAGGCTTCCTGGTAATCAGTGTGAGTTTCTGATATGATAGAACTATGCTAACATTTAATTAGACATTTTTCACAGAACTTTATGCAGTTTTTGAAATATTTAATATGAATAAATATCAAAGATTTTAAGGGAACATTATTTTGGTTTGTCACGCAGCCACGCATATAGACTACATTTGGCATGTTTATCCACCTATCAAGTTTCTACCCAGGACCTGGAATAAGCAGATGTTGTTTGATAGTGTTAAGGGTATCATAACAGGATGTAAGCTATTCAAATAAAGCTGTCTTTTGCAATTGACTGATGGTGATTTTATCAATGTATTATTATTTGGATTATTGAAACTGTTAGAATGGAAACAGCTTTCATTGCCTTGAGAAAAATAAGATACTGTTTCCATTTTACAAAATTACAAACGAAAAGCAACAGAAAATTGTTAATATGCAAGCAAATGTAAGTAGCAATAACCAATATATTACTGGAAACAGCAAAAACATAAGCAGGCTCACAACAGTTTCTGAACAATTTATTTAAAAAGAATTAAAATAAAAGTTCTGGCTTGGTGTGGAATCCTTCTGAAGTTCATGTGAGAAAGTATGTATTCACCCATTAAAGTCCTTGGGAAACTCTTCCCTCCATCCAGTTGAAAACCCACTAAGTTTGTGGAAGAGAATCAATTGCTGTTTGTCACTGCTGAAGCAGGATAAAAACACTAATGTGACTCAAAGTGGGAATGTTGAGTCAGACGTAATTAAAGCTGCATGATTTAGTTTGTACCCTTCTTCATGATCCTGGTTAACGCTATTGTGAAAAAAAAAATCCTTCTCCAAAGATTCCACTACAGTTGAACTAGGTAGCATCTGTATCTTTTGAGCAACTGCAGTTGCATCAAGGTGTGGGACCCTTGTGTGTAATATAATAATATAGTAAATTGAACAATTATTAGAATAATGATTTGTCTGCATAACTGCAATAATGATGTGTCTGCATAATTGCTAGAACAATGATGTAATGCATAATCACTGGGAAAATTCACTGGGAAAGTTCTGTCAGTAATATGTGGCAACCTAATGCGCTCTGCACATGGATACTTTGTATGTAGCAAAACCTTCCATTCTATGCCTGTGAGAAATGTTCCTAATGTATCACAGTGTGTATTTCAATGTGTAGTCCTTTGTTCTTTAAGGAGGGGAGTATAAAAACTGAAGTCTAATCACGCCCTCCTCGTTCAAAATTGCCTATCTCTAATATGCTCTGGACCTTGCGCAATTAAACTTCTCTGCTAACCCCTCTGGAATTCGTAAGAGTTCTTTCGTTTTCCACAAGAATTTTGGCACCTCCAGATGGGACTCTTATGAAGAGGCCGTTGTCCTGCCAGACGGACTGCCCTGGGGGAAAACCCCTCTCCTATCGGTGATATCTCCAAGCCGG